GTTTTTGTCGAGGGCTGGACTTGCACAACTGATTTTATTTCATGTTACCTTATGTTATCAGTTCTGGAACTTTAAACCTGAAAACAGAAGAAAACATAACTTGGATGTTCTGTCAGAACCTTTCTGAATATTATCCTAGGCATCTCTTGTTTACTATTTGGGAGGGGGGAGTTTGTACAAACATTTGTGTGGGGGGGGGGAATCACCTCGCTATAACAAGACGAGAAGCAATGGATGGAAACTAATCAAGGAGAATTAAGGAGAAACTTCCTGACAATGAGAACAATGAATCAATGGAACAGCTTGCCTTCAGAAGTTGTGGGTGCCCCATCACTGGAGGTTTTTAAGAAGAGATGGGATAGCCCCTTGTCTGGAATGGTATAGGTTCTCCTGCTTGAGCTTGGGGTTGGACTAGAAGACCTCTAAGGTCCCTTCCAACTCTATTATTCTGTTGTGCGGTTATATATCATTATTTGCTAAGGACTTTGGATTATTCTATAATATGTACAAGAGACCTTCAGTTGCATCATTGTTCCTGCCTACTCCTGCCTTTCATCACTGTCATTCTAAACAACTGTCAGTGTACTTTCACAGACTGAATGGGCAATTGCTCACATTTCAGTAAGATCCGTATCTTTCAACAATTAGAGTTACCTTTCTTTCAGTCAACATCATTCACGGATGTTTTTAAAAATCCTATACTATAATTGCTACAGTTTGCTGTCCGGAAATATAAGGACCATTAATTTGTGCATAGTTAGAGGAATAAATACAATCTTACATATATTATTCTCCTATAAAAGCCTGTAGTATAGAAACTCATTATATTTTCCATTTGTATGTTTATCTTAGTAATCAGCTGCATGTTATCAAAATGATTTTGTATATATTAACCAGCTGTGGTAACTTGTTTTTTTAAAAAATATATATATATATAAGGCTTATTATTTAAAATACCAACTGCTGTTCCCCTCCTGCTCAGCAGATAAAAGGGTGGTGTCCCCCAGCCAGGCTTAGAAATCACCCACATTCAGAAAGTATTCTTCAAAAATGACCTCATGGAATTATTCCTTCTTTGACCAATCAAATTCTACAAAGCCTTTAGATCTCAGGTTTTCCCA